GTGGAGGGTTAATTGCGAATTATTTTTATCAAGTAATTGAAGTGAATCCCGAGTAATTCATCCTACCTTGGAGATCACATATTATATGTATTATAGATATATGATTTCGATCCATCCAGGCATGGGCTCAAATTCCAGCTATGCAACTCTGGAGTTTAGGTTTCTGTGTACAGGCTACTTCATGTCTCTGAGACCTAATTCTGACATATGGAAAAGTTTGCAGGGCCGACAAAGTACTGGAACTCACAGGTAAAGGATAGTTTTCAAGCCTAAGCTGGGAAGGATGCTTCAATCCACAAGGTGTTAACACATACACCATGAAAAAAGTATGTGTGGGGGGGTGGTTGTAAGTGAGTTTGCTTGCACTTTTTTTTAAATTTTCAGACCTACTCAGAGCCTTTAATTGCAGGCTATGTATTGTGAATTTCCACCAAGTTGTCCTAAATTTCTTGCAGAAAACAGTTGTTTAGATTATTTTGTATTTTACCTGTCCACATACCTCATGCATGCAGTACCCTTGGAGGTCAGAACAGGGCTTCAGATCCCCAGGAACTGGAGTTGCAGATGGTTGTAAGACACCTCATGATCAGGAAATCAGAGGCTCATTCAGTAAAGCCATAGTCAAGAGAGGGTAACGAGGTCATCTTCCGGGACTCCTCAGGGTACATCACCCCTTTTTTTGTTTGTCTGTTTGAGGCAGTGTCTCCATGAGACTGGAACTTCCTAAGGAGAGTAGTTGCCTAGTTAATGAGCCCCAGGGTCCCTCCTGACTCTGCCTTCCCAGTCCAGAGTTTGCAAGCGTGGACCCCCTAGACCCCCATTTTCATGTGGGTGCTGGAAATTGAACTCAGGTCCTCAAGCTTGTATGGCCAGTAATTTACCCACTGAGCCATCTTCCAGTGGGCAAGTGTCTCAATGACTTAGAAAGAAACTCTCCCTGGAGAAAGTGACTTCTAGCAATTTCTCAGATGAACTAAGAAGGTCACAAAATCAGGCCCTGTACATTTCCAGAAGTTCAAGGGGGTAGATTTCAGAAAGAAGTATGGTTGGGCTGGAGAGGAAAAACTGCCGACATTAAAAATGAGAGCTCGTTGTGTGCTTAGAGACTCGAAAGTGGAGGACACCCCTCACGTACCAAGCGTACCAAGCGCTGTAATTACATGCTCTCTAAGAACCACAGTCCGTCCTGCTGACAAGGCTCATTGTCAAAACCTAGAGACAGAGATGCAATCTGAGAGTCAGGCAGAGTGCCTGACTCTGGAGTTTATCTTGTGGCTTCCTCTCTCTGGTTCCTTAGGAAGTTGTCCCGTGAGGATGAAGAGAACATTACAAATTGTTTAACTGGATTTTCCAAATCTTACCTGGAAGAAAAGGGAAAGACGGGACATGGGAGACATGAGAGTAATTCATGAAAGTCCTGGGGGTGCGGGGACCAGCAGGGGGGTTCTTAATTAAAAACTCCCCTCCTTCTCTCTCCCTCTCCCCCCCTCTCTCTCTGTCCCTGTCTCTGTCTCTCTCTCTCTCTCTGTGTGTGGTGTGTGTGTGTGTGTGTGTGTGTGTGTGTGTGTGTGTGTGTGTGTGTGTGTGTATAAGAGAGACAGAGGGAGAGAGAGAGAGAGAGAGAGTTGTTCAGGTAGAAAGCATTTTAGTTTACAAAACTCAATCTTTTTCTACACTTTTCTGTTTATTCTTGAGTAAATGACTTCCTGTGTCCGAGGCTCTGTTTCCTCCTGTGTAAAATGAGAATATTAAATTCAAAGAGTGGGTCAGTTTGTCTGTCAGTTGGGTTGGTTGGTCCATCAGTTGGTTGGTGTATTAGTTTCTCTGTTTTTTTGTTTTGTTTTGTTTTGTTTTAGACAGAGAGTCTTGCTATGTAACCCAGACTGACTATAAATTTGAAATCCTCTTACCTCAGTAAGTGCTGGGATTACAGGTGTACACTACCACACCTGGGCAAAGAATTATTATGAGGACCATGAAATAATAGAAGCAGTGTTTGCCACAGTGCCCAGTGCCCAGTCAGGTCAGCAATGTCCACTATTGCCCATTCTTGGGTCTCACATTGTGTGAGAATTGGATTGTGTTGGGACTTCAGGATGCTGGGTGCCCCCCCCCATCATCTCTTCTCTTTCTTGTTAGTGTCTCAACTTGAAAGTTCATCATTTTTTCAGGCTAAAAACCTAATTCCTTCGGCCTTGTTAGATCTAAGAGGACCCTAAGACTGAGAGACGGCTCACTGGGCCAAACTGCTTGCCATGCAAGCCTGATACCCCAAGTCCTGTGTACCCATGTAAAAAGCTAGGTGCAGTAGAGTACATCTGCAATCCCAGCATGCTTTGCAGGACATGGGGCAGCAACAGAAACAGCCAAGGTGACACAGTCTCAACAAATCACAGGTGGGAACTCTCACCCTCAAAAGCTGCCCTCTGGGTCCCACATGTGCACTGTAGCATGTGCATAACTGAACTCACATACATACACAAAATCAAATAAATTCATGAATATTTTTAAAAGACTACACTTTCGTTAGTAATTTTTTTTTGTAAGAAGCTGGGATGTTCTTCCTAGGCCTTTCCTTAGAGAGACAGGGCCTCCACTCTGATCTTGCCATTCCTGCTTCTGCAAATCCAAGAGCCTGTCAAGACCAGCAAGCTGAGAAGAGCCTCAGAGGCATGGCCAGTGAGTAAAAATCTCCATGTGAGAGCAGTGGGCAGTAGGTAGGACTCAGCTTACACTTCCAGGTTGCCACCTGTCACTTCCACAGCAGCAAAAGTTTGAGACAGTCAGTTACATCACATGCACAGTTAAGAGCAGAGAGACATGGATGCATGCATACTTCCTCATTTGTGCTTGGCATTTCAGGACCCTGTGCCAAGGGCATAGTGCCGCCCACAGTGGGCTGACTCTTCACACATCAGTTAATTCATATTTTTGGTTGTGAGCCTATTCTTTAAAGACTGAGCCATCTCACAGAGCTAGTAGAAAACCATCCTGAGTCAGGTAACCCAAAAAACAGAAAGACAAATATAGTATGTATTCACTCATTGAGTGAATACCAGACAAAAAGCAAAAGATACCCAGCCTACAATCCATAACATCAGAGAAGCTAGTACCCTCTTCCAGAGACAGATGGAAACAGATGCAGAAATCCACAACTAACCAATGGGCCAAGCTCCTGAAGTACAATCGGAAGTAAGGGAGGAGCAATAATATGAACAAAAGAGTCAATTCCATGATGGGGAAACCCACAGAATCAGCTGACCCAAGCTAGTGAGAGATTACTGACTCTGTTCTGGAAAATGGGGGACCTACCTAAGATGGTACTAGACTCCCTTAATACAGGTGACAATAGTGTGACTGGGACAATATATGAGGCCACTGGCAGTGGGTCTAAGATCTAACTCTAATGCACAAACTGACTTAGTGGAGCCCATTCTATATGGAGAGATACCTTGCCCAGCCCAGACACAGGGGTGTGGGGGGGTGGGGAGGTGCCTTGGTCCTGCCTCAACTAGAAGATGGGACAGACTTAGTAGACTTCCTAGAGGAGGCCTTGCCCTCTCTGTGGAGCAGAGGGGAGGAGGGGGGAGGGGAAGGAGGAGGAGGGGAGGGAGGGAGAACTGGGATTGGAATGTAAAAAATAAAATTAAAAAAATATTAAAAAAAAACTCCAGATCCCACACCAGTTAATTTAATCAAGACGACCCCCCCAACAACCTGAAATAGAGACTCTGAGACACTCTTCTCAGGTGATTCTGAGTTGTGTCAAGTTTCTAATTCAAGTCACCAATCCAGACTTCCAGTCATCTCCTCCACCGACAGAGCAAGGTCACCATGACCTGTCTCTTGGATATAGTGTGTGGTAGAACTTGGTTTGATATAGTGTTTTAGGTGTCCTAGAGGAATAATGATGAGGTTTGTGACTGGCACGGAACAAAGGCCTTCTCACCTGAGTGAGAAGCCTCCATGCTTGCCAGCCTCGGCCATTGCTGTGTGACGTCAAAGGGACAGTGGTAGTCTGCTGGCCAGTTGACAAGGACTGCTCGCCATGTGGTGTGGGTTTGTAGCTGCTCTGCCACGTCTGTGGCTGGTGTTTATTGTGGTCCCCCTGCTGATTGTCAACCGGTCTTAGACACTCAAGAATGTGGCTGTGTCTCTTGGATCTGCTGCGGCCTCTTATAAACTGCTGTTTGTTGTGGCTGAAACAGGGAATGGTGCCGTGCACTTTTTTTTTTCCATCCTGTGTTTTAGGAGCAACTGTTTGATGTCTGCGGGAGTGTTTCCTGGTGTGTGTGTGTGGAAACCATCATGGAAGGAGTATGCCATTAAGCAACTCCTCATTGGCTTCACAAGACACTGGGTCCAGGCTTTAGACTCTTTACTACAGCCAGGTACATCAAGCCAATTACGTTAGAATTTTTCACACACGGGAAAGCATATTTTTTTTAGCCCTCAGCTCGTCTGTGTTATTCTTTATAAAACCAAGTAGGCAGTGTTCCAAAATCTCACACCGAGTTTCATTATTAGCATGTTTTGGGAACTGAAGGTTTTCTGTGTTTGAGTTCAGGTTTTTGTTTTTGTTGTTTTTAATCCTGGAGCTGAGAACTGGATCCCTTAAGACGAGAATGTAGGTCTTTGGTAGAGGGCTTGCCTAGCATGTGTGAGGCCCTGGGTTCTGTGCCCAGGCAGGGAACAAGCAGACAAACAAACACCACTGGGTTGGGGAAATGCGGCTCAGTGTGTAGACTGTTTGCCTACCATGCACAAAGGGTTGGGTTCCATCTCTAGCACTGTAGAACTGAGGATCAGAGAAAGGGATTAATTACCCAAGGGTTGTTGTGATGACAGCAGGTAAAAGTGACTGCTACCAAAACTAAAGACCTGAGTTCAATACCTGGAACAAAAAGTAGAAGGAGATAATTGACTCCCGAAGGCTGTCTTCTGACTGCCACATATACAGGGACACATGAATATCCTCGTGAATATACACAAAATAATAGTAGTATTGTTTTTTTTTAATTTAAGCAAGTTCAAGGGCATGAAGTTACACTACTGCCAGGCTATGGCTGCTGGCTTTACAAGGCCTCTCAGACTTGTCACATGACAAGGTGGTCGTTGCAATGCAGCCACAGTCTGAGGAGAGCTCTACATCAGCAAACTGATGACTAGGACTCTATAGGAAGGGCGTTCTGTGTTCTTGTTTTGCAAGACTTTAAGACATTATGTCCTTGGACGTGGGTTTTCCTCCTTTAGCAGGGCACTGATCACAACCCCATGTTGTGAGAACCAACAAGGTGGTAAGCAAGAAAAATTCAGGGGTAGGGACAAAACTGTAAGTCCCAAGTGAGACTGAAATTGTGGGCTTTCCCCACATACATGCCCCATGTAATGCAATGCTTCCAAAATGGAGGTCAGGGTTGCTCAAGTCAGCACTTCCCATGCCATGTCAGGCCACTCCAAATGAAGCTGGTGATCCACAGTTGTTTGTAACCAACCCTGCTAATCATTTATACCTCTCAAAACCTCTGCGGTCAAGTGCTGTGAGTAGAGATGTCCTCACTTCCCACCCTCAGATGAATGTATGCTGCGAATCCAGAGAGAATCCCCAGGCCAGGCAGAAGCTGTGGCAGGGGCTATGCTTGTGGTTGGGAATGATGGAGCTGCTCCATTCGGATTCTTCAGGAGCGTGGATACCTTCCAAGTCTTGAGAAATCCTGGCCAAGAGTTGTTATCTGTTTTGATTCTGGTGCTTCTTGCAAGTAGAGGACATCTGTGAAGCGCTTCTTGATTGCAATTGCGGGGCCTCTTCAGTCCACTTGTGTGAGTTTTGCTGCATTTACCAGAACTGAAACAGAGCAAAGGTCTTCAGGAAGGAAGCCAAGACCCATGACAGGAAGTAAAGTGAGGAAGGGAGGGGGAGGGAGGAGAAGAAGAGCAGGGGGCAGAAAAGGAAGGGGGAAGGAAGAGAGAGGAGTGGAAGAGGAGGGTGGGAGGAGGAGGATGGGAGAAGGAGACAGGGAAGGGAAACAGGACCGCCTTCCACGGCACCAAGACAGAAGCGCCGTACAACCGTGCAGTCCCGTTCCAGCTACGGAACACAAAGCGCTGAAGTCAGGATGCGGAAAGGTTATCTGCACTTCTGTCCATCACAGCAGCCCTCCCGATAGCCGGAACACGAAAGCAACCTGGATCCATGCCAATAGGTGAACAGGCAACAACCTGTTGTTGACAGTCTTATAGGACGTCTTCTGTCTGGACAACATGGATGGGCCCGGGAGATACGTGGCTAAGTGCAAAAAGTGGGGGATCTAACGTAACAGTCACGAAACAGGGTGCCCAAGGGCAGCTGGCTGAGATGGTGTGAGGGGGAGATGGGGAGGTGATGGTCACAGGACAGGAAGTTTCGGTCCCAAGGGCCAGCGCACAGTGCCATACCTGTGGCCAGCAACAGTGTTCCATCTCTAAATTTTGCCAAGAACAAGCACTATATTAAATATTCTTTTTTAGCAAGTTATGTGTATTTCTGTACATGCGTGTGAGTCTAGGCACATGGGTGCAGGCACTCAGAGAAGCCAGAAGAAGGTGTTTCCCTTCAAGCTGGAGCTACAGGTGGTTGTGAGACACCCACACAGTACTGGGAACTTAATTCTCATCCTCTGGAGAGCATCATGCCCTCCTCACCTCTGCACCATCTCTCCAGCTGCTCTATAAAGGATTGTTTACACTCAAAGACAGTAATGGAACAGAACAAAGAAAAGGCAAGAGGTACCCTTTAGAGGTAATACATAACTTGCTGTCAGTGGACCCTCTTGCAAATGTGTGAACTCTGGCATTAACTATCTACCTACACACACACACACACACACACACACACACACACACATACACGGTGGGGGGGGTGCCTCCTCCCTTCTCTCAGAGTAAAGGGATAAAAGGGAGGTGAGCAGAGAGGGATAATTAGAAAATTCAAGAGTTTACCCGTACAATGAAACCATTGATAACCAAGGTCTAAACATCCAGGGAGAGAGCGAGTTGATGGAATGTGATAGGTGTGAGAAAAGACTATAGAACCCCCTGTCCTTCCCACAGGCACTGAACCATTAGGATGTGAAGTGGGAATATGTCAGCTCCCAGCAGGCCAGCTGCTCAGGACCAGAAATACCTGTGGGCCTGGGGAACAGGGAGAGCCTTCGGTGGCAGAGGCTGTGACACAGACAGCTACAGAGCGCTGATGGGGTTCCTTAGTCCAGATTCCCAAAATGACTTTTACTGTCAGCCATGGCAATGCCGCAGGGTGTGCTGAACCAATGCAATGGCAAAGTCTTAGAAAAGGAGCAAAATGGGAGCCTGGAGTCACCTCAGGGGCTTAGAACTCACTAGACACAATTGCCAGTAAGAATGAAATGGACAGAAATTGTACAGTCCTTGAGGGACCAAACACCTCTACTCACAGACAGTAGGAAGAGATGCTTAGCCTAATTCCTGATTGTCTGGAACCTTTTATTAGCTGGAATCATCCTGTCTCTTTCAGGAAAAGGGATGGCCTGAAAAATAATAATATAAAGACAAATTCAGGTGAAAGGGTAGTCAGGGACACACCTTCATCCTCCTGCCATTTCAACCCCATGTACAAGTGTCTTGAATTTACATTAACTGGACTGTGAGCCTCCCGGGGTGGGGTGCTGTGTTTTGCTGTTCAATGCTGCCTTCTGGAACCCTGGCTGAGCACAGAACTCAGGAAGAGGGTGGGACAGGGCACCTGAATGAATTCTGACCCCCAAAGGGCATCACAGAAAGACTTCTGGGGACATTATCATTAGCCGAGCTGGAAGACATTCAACTGCTTCAGAAAGGTTTGGTCACCATGTGGTGTCGTAGATAAAAGATCTTTTCTCTTAACCGCACTAAGAAAGGCAATTCTATTTGTTTTCCTCAGGAATTTTGTTTTTGAGGGAGAGTCTCATGTAGCCCAGGCTGGCCTCAGACTCACTTTCCCACTATGGAGTAAAGGATGACCTTGAAGTTATGATCCTCCCGTCTCGCCTCCTTCATGCTAACTTATGCTATGCTAGAGATGGAAGCTAGGACTCCTTGAACATCGAGCAGGATCTGCAGACTGAGCCCTATCCTCAGCCCCTCCTGGAAAGCTCTTCCCATGAATCTTGAGTTTGACAAAGCTCAAGTAAGCTTGTCACGGAGGGGCATACCTACCTACAATCTCAGAATTCAGGAAGTTGAGACAGGAGGATCACAAGTTCCAGATCCACCTGGACAACTTATTGAATCTGTGTCTTCAAAGAAGAGAAGGAGAGAAAAAGGGGGAGAAAGAGGAAGAAAAATAGAAGATGAGAGGAAGAAGATGGGGAGGAAGAAAGGGAGGAAAAAGAGAGGAAAGAACATGAGGAGGACAAGGAGAAGAGGAAATAAAGACCACCACACTGAAATGCACCAGGCTCTCGACACTAGAAAGCTAGCTGTAGGCAGCCCATTCTATCTAACCAGCTTCAGGTAGACCCTAGGAGGGACCAGAGAAATATGTGAACCACTGTAGACTTCTCAGATCAGGGGTTAGATCATTTTCTCTGTAAAAGGACAGACAGTAAATGTTGAGGCTTTGTGAGTCATATCATTTCTATGGTAATGGCTTAGACTTTTAAAGCCACTATAAACAGTAGGTAAATGAATGAGTGTCCCAATAAAACTTTATTGGTAAAAAGTTGCTGGGCTGATATTGGCCTGAAGGATATAGCTTGCTGACCTCTGGTCTTGACCAACCCAACTGGACCTGACTGACCTCTGTTAAGCTACATGGAACAGAAGACTCACCCAACTAAGTGAGCCGTGTTCAAATCCTTAACCTGCAACATTATGGCTTAGCATAAAATGTTTTGTGTTAAGTCCTAAAATTTTAGACAATTTTTAATACAGCAATAGTTAAGTGGAATAAAAAGGTTGGTATCACTTCCCCCCCAAAACAAACAAACAAATAAATAAATACAGGAAGGTGAAAGGGCAGAGATAACTTTCAGTCCATTCTGTGTAGCCCTGTAGTGGCTGCATGAAGGAAACCATGGCTCCATTCCCCAGGGATGACAGATGGCACAGAGAAGTTGTGCAGAATGTTGGAGATGGGAGCTCAGAGTTAAATGAAGTATTGGGGAAAGTGGGGCTTACGTTACGTGGTGGCTGTGGAGCTCTCTGCTGCGCCATTCCAGCACCCTATTCGTGGTGTTGTCTATGCACATGGGGCCCCAGTGGCAGGACACGTGGCAGCTTTAAAAGAAAGAGCAAGACTGGAAAGATGCCTTAATCAACTAAAGTGCTCATACATGACCACGAGTTCAGGTCTCCAACATTCACAAGAAAAGCTGCGAGTGCTGACAGGCCTGAGGTCCCAGCTCTGATGAGAGGATCCCAGGAGCTCACTAGCCAGCCATCCTTATTTAAATGGAGAAGCCCTCGTCCCAGAGAGATCCTGTCTGAAACCAAAGCAAAAAAAAAAAATAGAGACAAAAGGCCAGATGATGGTGATGGTGATGACGATGATGATGATGATGATGATGATAAAGTCAAGGTGGGGATCTCCTCGGGAATTGATACCCTCCCAAAGTAGACCTCTGGTCTCCACGCACACATAATACATACATGCACTCACATGTATGTGCAACATACAACAGAGAGAAAAGAGAGAAGAGAGGCAAAACAAACAGAAGTGGGGGGTGGATATTGCCCTAGTCTACCCTCTGTTGCTATGAGGAACACCATGACTATGTTGTATCTTACAGCCCATCATCAGGGGAAACTAAGACAGAATTTAGAGGCAGGAACTGGAGCAGAGGCCATGGAGGGAGCTGCTCACTGGCTTGCTCCCTGTGACTTGCTCAGCCTGTTTCTTATAGAACCCAGATCACCAGGCCAGGAATGGCTCCACCCATAATGGGCTGGGCTCTCCCTCATCAATCACTAATTAAGAAAATGTACCACAGGCTTGTCCACAGGCCCATCTGATAGAGGCATTCTCTCGACAGAGGCTCCCTTTTCCCAACTGATTCCAGTTAGTGTCAAATTGGCAAAAGTTAATCAGTACTGACGTGAAGTGCTCCTCAGGGCCCATGTGTTTGAACATTCTGTCCCCAGTTGGTGGTGCTGTTTGGGAAGCTGAGGAACATTTAGGAGGTGGGGCCTAGCTGGAGAGGTAGGTTGTTGGGAGGTGCCTTTAAGGGACAGGACTTCAGTTCCTGCCTGAGCTCAGCTTCCTGACCCCTTCAGTGATGTAACCAGTCTCCACATGTCCCAGTCATCATGCCTCCTCCACCGTGACAGAAAGGCTCTTCTGCACTGTGAGCTGGAATAAACTCCCCTCCCTCAGGTCGTTTATTCTATCACAGTGATAAAAACAGGAACTCACATTCCCACCAAAGGTACAAAGGGTATTCCTGACCATCTCTCTGTCCCCCAGACCCGCAACAAAAAGCTTGGTAATGAGGAGCTGCCCTGAGAGGCTGGGCAGAGAAGAGTCACAGAGCTGAAAGTGAGTTTGAGACACTGACACTTCCACCAACCCATTACACAAACTGGTAAGCTGAGACTCCGGTGGTAGAATAGCAGAGGTCCTCAATGACACAGAGAACAAGAATCCTGCACATTGTGCCGTTTCCTTTTCCATCTTTGTGCCCTACGGAGCTGCTAAGCAAATTCAGTATGCATTCTTGGGGAGTTGTCTATAGAAGCCAAGAATCTGGAGAGCCTACTTCATTCCCACGGCTCCATAAATCTCCACGCCGTGTTAAATGCTGGGGGACGAGGGGGGAGCAGAATCGCCAAAGTCCTCGTGAAATCGGGCCTTTCTGGGCCTGGCAAAATCTCTCTCAACCTGTCACCATTATTCTGTGTTATGGCTGGGTTCCGTCTAAACAATCCATTTCTATAATTATATAGATTAAAATAAAAAAAATCCCACTGCTAATGTCCTCGGATCCCTTTAGTGTCGGGAGCAGCTGCCAGGTGCGACGCCACAGACCGGACGTGTGAGATGGCCGGGCCAGGCCCACAGTCAACCATTCCAAGTTCTGTTTATTTTGTCTGGTGACACTTCTTAGGAGAGGGGAATTAAGGGCTGGAGTCTGCACCTGCTGGATTTCTCTAGACAATGCATGGCCTAGCCCATTTTACATAAAAAAGCTGCTTTGTAATCTGGGCTTGCTGTCATAGCTCCTGTGTTTACTAGCAAATAATTCTGACAGTCTCCATGTGCCCCAATTTCTCTCCAAAGTAAAATGGGGTTAGTTTTGAAGCAGAGGTCTGACTATGTAGCCCAGGCTGGCCTTGAACCTTCAGTCCTCATGCCTCAGCTTCCTGAGTGCTGGCCTGGTAGGTCTGCACCATGGTGCCTGGCAACAGAGGCATCCTGGAATGGGGAGACTGAAAAGAATACTCTATGTTGTTGTGTATGGAAGTGGGGCCGAGTTTGTTTCTTCATGGGGTTGAAAACTTGGCGCCTATAGAGTCCCCCAGCACAAGTTTCATAGATGAGGGAAGGACTGCAATGAGTTTAGGAATCTTGTCAGCCAACCCATTTGCACAGATGGGAAAACTGAGCCCTGGAGGCTGTTTTGCTCAGGCTCATAAACATCCTCAGGGTGGGAACAGCCAGGCTTTTCTGCTTCCCTTTGAGATGCTCACTGTGTTCTGGGCAAAGCCAGGGAGGCTGGAAGAAATTATGAGGGAACCACATTATCAATGAACCACGTAAAGAGAAGACCCCAGCAAAAGGAATGTGTCTCTTCCAACAAAGAACGGGGAACCTAAATACCTGGCCCTTAAATCACTCCAAGATTGCTGAGATGAGAAGGGGCCATTGGTTGGCCTATTTGGTGTCTCTCACACCTTTGTTAGGCTTCACATACATATGCACACCTGAGGAAGCCTGGCGGGTAGCAAGGTTCTGAATTCAACCCCTGAGATGAAAATCAATTTTAAGAAATGATTGGGTCTATCAACATTGCATTGTGGGTAGGGGTGGGCCTATCTGCCCCCCACCCCCTCCCCGAGAGACTATTGATTGCCAGGTAGGGTTGTTGAGGGAGGGGGTATCACTTTTCTTCAGTGCTGTATCTGCTGATAAATTGCCCATTCTCCAGAAAATAACCTCATGTCCATACCCAGACAGGAAACTCAAATTAAACTAAGTGGATTATACACACACACACACACACACACACACACACACACACACACGAGAGTGGAGAGGGCACTTACTGAGAAAGAAGCAGTTCAATCAGGAGAAACTGAGGCTTGGGGAAAGAAGGCTTGTCCAAAGCCAGCCGCTGACACAGAGGGTTCATTCCTCAACTTCAGGGCACTCTCTGAGTCCTCCAGTCTCGAGGAAGCAATTGTTGTCCTTGTGTTGGATCCATCTTACAGCAAGCATACAATCCTGGTTCTTTCACCCCGGGAGCCATGGGACATCCTAGGGCAGACCACATGTGTCTTAGTTTGTCACACTTTTCTGTTGTTTTTGGTTGTTTTCCAGGATTATCCTCCAGACGCTATTTTTCTGGGCCGCACAGAGGCCAGAGAACAGCTAAAACCATAGAGGGATAGAAGAGCTCTACATTTTTGGATGTGGTTATTAAAACCCTTAGTAGACAATTAGCAGTAACAAGACAGAATCTGGGATGCCTTTAATGTGTCTGAATGTGACCACTGATTCATTACACAACCATGGTATTGAACTTCATGTCTATTGGTACAACCACCCACCCAAAATGTTCATTTAAACCCTGCAAGCTGGCCATCCCTCTGTGTCTTCAAGATTGCTTGCATCCAGATGTTACATGGCAGGGCTCTGATTGCATCATCTTTGTCATGTGGTTACTCAGGACTTAGAACTAAATGGGGCTCATGTTTCAAAGCTCTTGGAAACACCTAGGTAAAAACATCTACTAATCTAAAATCTGGGAGTTTGGGAGGCAGAGTTCACGTACATACACTTCCTAGAGTTGTTACAGCCTTGATGAGAGGTTACTCCAGCCATGACAAGAATTAAGACTATACGTAGAAATCCTGAGAGCTGGTAAGATGACTTAGCCGGTCAAGGACTTGCTCTGCAAACATGAGGACCTGAGTTTGATACCCAGGACCATGTGAAGGGCTGGGCATGGCTGGCCATATGCATGCCTATAAACCTAGCACAGGGAAGATGGAGACCAGTCAGACCCACAGCACTTGCTAACCAGCCAGTCTAGTGAAACTGGTGAGCTCTAGGTTCCGTGGGAGACCCTGCCTCAGAAACTAAAAACTAAGGTAGGAGACCACTGAAGAAAATGCCTTCTGTAAACCTCTGTCGTCTACATACACATGTGTACGCATGCATGTGGGACTGCACACTCCTATGCACATGCACAAATATACACTGGCACACATATGTACATACACAAAATGTACACACACATACACAGCAAACAACAAAACAGAAAACCTCAAGATGGAGAAACTATCTGGTGACAGGCCATTCTACTAAAAAAGAATGAAAAGAAGGAAGGAGAGGCAGAGAAAGAGGAGGGGGAGGAGGAGGAAGAGGGGAGGAGGGAGAGGAGAGGAGGAGAGGGAGGAGGATGGAGAGGAGGGAAGAATGGGCAGGAAGGGGAGGGGGAGGAGGGGGGTAATCACCAGGCTTACTGGAAGAGAGAAGCTTCTTCAAGAAATGTCAAAGGACCTAAATAAGTCCTGGAAGATAACAATCACGGTTGACCAGGTAAAGAATGACAATGGCAGACCAAGACAGTGACCCTTCAGTGCTATCTATTCACCTCCCCTGACACTTCTGTAACAATGACACACCACATAGTGTCAATGGGTATTTAGGGAAGTTCAGCTATCTCTCATCAAGGAAGATGTTCCTAATGCCTGAGGCTAGACTAGTGGAAGCCCAGGGTGCCCTTGCAGAGGAAGCAGCCCCACTTAAGTGAGAGTGTTGAGTCACTTGCCAGCTGTCTGGCCTCAGGCAAGTTGCTTAACCTCCCTGAGCCTTGATTTCCACACTTAGGAAGTGAGAGTAATAAGGTACCTTGGCATGCAGCGATGTTCCCTGGGGGAAGTTGTAGTCAAGGCTGGGCTGGGGCAGGACTTAGTAAGTTGATGGCTTGAGGACCCAAACTTCTCTCCCAACCTTTTGATAGCTGATCAGTACCCAGCCCACAGCTCTTACCTACCCTAAAAGCTTTAGCACGGAGGAGTTTGGTAGAGACTGGACGCAGTGCACGTGCTCACAGGGGGAGTGTGCTGTGTGTACACATTGTAATTACAGAACTGGACTCATTCTGCATATGACGTCTCTCCTATGCTAGGATCCTTCGTATACAGTTTAAATTATGCATACATATTTAGAATCTTATTTATCAAAATATCACCAGCAGTGGGTCTCGGGGAGTTTTCTTTCCCTTCCTTCCTCTGAGAAATATTTACAGACTTCTGCTTTGTACTACACCCCGCCTTCCTTCCCTGGCCCTTGTTTAATTGTCTAAATGTCCTAAGAGTCCACATTTATACTTATTTTAACCTTGATAAACAATCATCCAAAAACAAAACAGCCTTCCATCAATATCGCCCAGCACCACAGACGAGGATGCTAACACTTGGAAGAGATGGGACTAAAGGCCAGCCAAACAGGCTCCCCCATCTCCTCGTCCCCACTTCCATGCCCAATTTTTATCTTCCTTTTTGGCTGAGGGTCACCGTGTGTAGATTTGCTCTGCACAAAGATAGAACTGCCCACCTGCCTTACTGTGGTGTCATGCAAGCTCAGGAAACCCGCAGCAACAGGGGGCCCTCGGTGGGGGAAAAATAACCACTTATCTGCCTTAGCTGAGTTCAGAGCTCCCCCGAAGGCATCCTTCCTACACTCAGGGGGTGGGTTTTGTTTATCCCCCTGGCACACAATGAAATGTTGAGAACACATGCTCAGGGTGAGGTGGGGCCTGGCGGAGGTTAAAAATGGAACGGCAGCTTTGATCCTCAGCCAACATCAATGACGCTCAGGGTTGGGGCCAGGGTGAGTGGTCATGCTCCCTTGTTCTGTCTCCTCAGAAGGTGCAGACAGCCCCCGCCCTCCCCACCCTGACTCCAAATGCAGACAGGGCCTCAGACTGGAACATGGATCTAAGACCCCAGACAAGGAGTTAAAGCTGGGAAAGCATGCTTTGTATGAATCAGGGAGGGGCCTTCTCCACTCGGCTTAGCATCAAGGTTCTAGAAGGACCACCACAGAGAGGATGGAGGCCAGCAACAGGTCAATAGGACATCTCCCGATCTGTAGCCATCACGTTGGAATTGGCCCTTCAGATCTTTTGAGAATTTCTGTCCCTCTTCACATCTGTCATTTAATTAGCAGATATTTGTAGACCATGGGTCCCAAAACTGAGCTGATCATGGGAATCCACTAGCAAAAGACACCCAAGCTCTTTTTTCTAGATCTTGAGGGTCACTAAGCAAGGCATACGACAAGTAATGAGACACTGAATTGATGTGCTCTGAGGAGGGTGCGGGAAGGGGGCAAGAGGTCAGAGGGGTGAGATCAGTGGCCTGTGAGATGTCCCAGCAGGTAAAGGGCTGGCTGTCAAACCTGACAACTTGAATTCAAACCCCTGAACCTACGTGGTGGGAGGAGAGACTCAATTCCTGATACGCATGTGGCATGCACACTGTGGCATACGTGTGTGTGCAGGTGAAGACTGCACAATGAATAAGCAGAAGGCAGAGGAAGAGGAGGAGGGGATGAAGGAGAGGAGGAAGGGATGAGGGAGAGGAGGAGGGGATGAGGGAGAGGAGGAAGGGATGAGGGAGAGGAAGGGGGGATGAGGAAGAGGAGGAGAGGGGTGAAAATCTCCAGACTCTGGAAGAAGGAAGGGACCTTAAGAAAGGAGCAACCTCTAAGTGAAAGCCTGAGGAAGGTAAGAATCACGGTTGAGCAGGCAGAGATGGGAAGGAAGACTGCCTGGGTTTAGGAAGTGCATCCGCCCCAAATAAACGGTGCGGATTAAAAAATTGAAAGAGACAGACAGGATTAAAGCAAGAGTGTATGCTATTTTGAACAAAAAATGAATGGGCTGCCCTCATTCATGGTTAAGTTTTTAATCAAGCTAACCAGTTAGTGGTCCGGCAGTAGGTGAAGAAGTCTGTTTTAGTCAGGCTTGGACTATGAGGACAACCAGCTGTAACTGGTGATGTATACGTCCCAGGAATGTATCCCTGTGCTTCTGAGAGCTAGGGAGGCCAGGATCAGGATGGCCGAGTCCAGGTCTAGACAATGTCTTCTTCTTGCTCCATAGATGTCCCTCTTTTGGGGAAAGCACAAGTGAACCCCATCAGGCCTCCTTCATGAAGTCCTCCCTTGTGACTTAATCATGTCAAAGACCCCATCTCTCCCAACCCAGAGTACTGGGATTTTGCCATATCATCTCTAGGCAAGTGTTCTTTTCCTAAGGTCGGATTTCTCCCAGCTTGCACTGCAGAGCGGTGTCCCTCACCCACGTTGCCTCTTTGCATTCTCACAGAAAATATCATAGGGAATCTGAAAGTTGAAGGTTACTCAAACTGATCAAATCCTTTGGCGCCTGCAGGTGCGTCGGGAGATGGCAGAATTTGATTCCAGAGCAACTTCAGGTTCATGTACCACCTACTGTGCTCATCCCATTTAGCAGAGGCTATGTCTTTGTTGAGGACCATGTGGAAATGGAAGCATCTCCCAGCCAGAGATGACTTCTTCATCCACCCATCCATCCAATCGTATGTTTAATCAGTCAATGTTCACACATCCAGAGGTGCCTATTTGGCTTCTCTCCCCCCCCCCTCTCTCTCTCCTTCTCCCTCTACTCTTCCCTCTTCCCCTTCTTCCTCCCCCTCTGCCTCTTCCTCTCCTCTCCTTCCTCTTTTCCTCCCTTCCTCCCCCTCTCTCTATCTTTCTTCCAAACTAGCCTCTGAAACATATTCACATGTCAGATCACCTCAGTCCTCTAAGACAGGACAGCACTGCAGAGGGGATCTTTTGAAACTCTCCCTATCACGTTCCTTAAGGACATGGGTGTTAGAGGTCATGGATGGTATTGGAAGTTCACCCAGTTTGCTGTCATTACACGTCAGAGTCCGTTTGGAAGTTTCCTTTGTTTCAGGTGATGCTTCACGTTATAGGACACAGACTTGAACTTGTAGACGTCGAAGTGAATTTAGAGATTGCATAGTTCATCCTTATGGCTTCACATTATAAAACCAAGCCACAAAAGAAGCAACGGCTCCATGAGTAGGTGGGATATGGGAAATGATCAAGCAAGGTCAGAGCCACCATTCAGAGTGACAAACACAAAGACCTCTGTCCTCAAGTGACAAGTGGCACCATCCCACTAGGAAGGAGCCAAGCACCGCATTCATCCTTCTGCAGCCATGCCACAGCCAAACCGGGACACAAGGATTTAAGGGTCTTTGCAATCTTTGGCTGGAAAATGTGGACATCGTGCCTTTGAACTTTGTCTGTGCTGGGGTCTTCCACTGGTCTGTAGAGAAGATGAGGAGAACCAAGCGATCCACCCCGGAGGGCTGCTACATAGACTTTGCAACCAGCCTAGGGGACCAGGTCCTGAATATCCTATTTGCCAGGTGCCACCATCTTTACCTTCTTTCCTAGTTTTTTTTTCTATGATGTTGGCTGGAAAGATTGACCTCTTGGGTTGGCACAAGCAACATGTTGTCAACTCTGCTGCTTTCTGGTTGTGTCACATTAGGTAGGAAGCTTCAAGTCCCATATTCCACATCGGCAACATGGGGATGTTCAATCAAACATCCTTGGATGGTTTGAAGATTTAATGGAAGCAATGATGTCATGGGTCTGCTTTGTGAAAATAAGATCTTAATTTCCCTCTCTAATCCATCCCCTCTCTAAGTCACAATGACTTCAAATGTGTCTTTCTGTCTTTTTATTCCTGTCAGACACCCTCCCACCCACATCAGGACCCCCACATCACACGCAGTTGCACAAGCATATACACAATGTCTATGATGAACACACATATACAAACATAAGTGTATCCTGTCATCTTCAAGCCAAGATATCACATTCACACAGACACTATGTATACATGCACCATGTAAACACACACACACACACACACACACACACACACACTGTCACATATTCACACAGTCCAAAAACACGCATCACACATAAACATGCATCACAGTCATGCCACACATACATATCCAATATGGGCATACAGATTGCACATGTGGACATACCCACACACAGAAATGCACATATACGTGTAACTAATAATAAAAATAAAGTTTTATTATTAAAAAATCTTAGGTGCAATTCTTGAACCAAACCTTTTTAACCTATAGGTTCCAGCTGGAGCTCTAGCTCAGTAGTGGAGTATTTATTCATTTAAGGTCCTGGATTTGACACTGCAATGTTGCAAAAACAAAAATCCAAGTAGCTCTGTGCATCCTGCATCCTGCTGCTAAGCTTTTGAAATTGGTCTTCACTTTCACAGTCTTTGTTGCATTTTGAAACTGTAGACATGCACTTTATCTATGAACTGGAAAACAAGGGTCCCAGTGCAAACTATGAAAATAACAGCCTGGCAGTTATCCCCACCCTGGGACTCAATTCTGCAACCTATGTGATGGGGATGGATTGTAACCCATGCTCCTACTGCTTTCCCCTTCTCCCCAAGCCTCCCCTGCTGAACCCGGAGCCTCACTGAAATATTTGAAAATTATGCACCTAACCAATGTTACCGATCCCCACAGCCCTGCAACTTTGCAGCATGGGTAATGGTCTAGAAAACCACTCTTAACGACCATGACAGATAGTAGCAACATCGACTACAGAAAATACGATGGGAAAGAGCAGGCTGAAAACACAGCCCCAGTCGAGATAAATGGCACCTTGTGTGTTCATCTTCTCAGTATCTTATCTAAGATGCCACTGGTGGCATGGATAATTAGAAGTCTCATCTCGTGGTTTTTGGACAGCCTTCCCTAATTTGTACTTCTGTACCCACAAACTCAACCTTAAAGATATTCCAAACCCCGACTCTGTGAGCCCACATCTTTCCTAGACAAGAATTAATAACAGGAGCATGAGGGACAATCCTCACTGTGATCATAATTCCTACATATAGGATTGATTCTTAGCATGCAGTTGTTGGCGGGGCTCTGG